CTATAAGAAATGTGGTATGGTATGTGGCATGAGTTTGATGTCGGGGATGCAGACAGCACGTGAGGCATGTTTTATATGAAGAAATGATACGTTGTTTAGAATGGCACGAAACCAGTGTTGTATGTAGATGACTCGTTAAAGAAACGAGAAAGACTTGTGAATTTACGTGCCAATTGGACTAGTAAAATGCTACAAAACCCGAATCATTTGCGGTCCAATTGTACTGATATACGGTCCAACTGGGTCACCAAATCGTACTAACTCAAACTTTTAAGTAAAAATCTGATTTAGTCCGTGACACAATGGCACTTTTTTTTCTGTAGGATAGTGTATCTAAATGCATTTATGATTGCTTGTTTTGTTTTTTAAAAAAAAAAGCCCCGGTAATGCAGTAATGGGCTATTTTTATTAAGGAAAAGACTAGACTTTTGCACATTTGATCAAAGGATTATCATATCCCAAATTTATGCACAATTGACGGCGACAAAGTTGCATGTGAAAAATCAAATCCGCATTCACACCCTTACACGATGCAATATAAATCCAATCAATTGTAAGATTTGGTTGTGCAACGCCATTAAGTCGTTACATAACCCGTACACTTATCAATATCACTACGTTACTATTATTAAGTATTCCTTTAGCATAGTTTATCTCTAGATTTTTGATAATAATTAATGCAAAGGTTTATTTTTTCAACTCCTATTTGTATAAATAAAATTAAATTTATACATTCCAACGGTATTACTCATGTCACTGGCTTTTTATAGTAAATAAGACTAAATTCGACGGACTGAATTGACTTGTAACTTCGGTTTGGCTTGTTAAGACTTGGATTCTGGAATGGTTGTGGAATTACGATTAGTCATTAGCTTTGTTAATCCCTCACGTGGACTTAAAGTTATCACTGACATCACTTGATTATCGTCCGCTTTTATCTCATCCTCCTTACCGAGATATCCCTAACAGCATCACCTGTAGTTACATCACCCCTCATCACCCCTATTAATATTAAAATATTCGTTTCATAGTGCCATATTGTCTCAATAGACCTCCAATAATTATAAAAGACCCTCTTTGCTTCTTTCAATTTATCATTATCTCCCGTACACCGTTGGAGTTAAATTGGTCTTTTATTTATATTATTCCCATAAGCTCTCCCATCAACGGTTACAATACTGTACTATAATCTTGCGGTTATAATGATCGTTTCACATAATAAATAAAGGTTTAAATTTAGTTTACCAACTTTGGTCCCTCTGGGGCCAAAGTTTGGTGCATTAAATTTAAGACGGAACATCTAATGACAGAAAATTTTCTTTCCGGAATAAAAATAAGAATAAAACAAACAAATTTACTACCTTTAATACATAATGGGCGGCGAAGCCGCCTACATGATCATGTCTCTAGTTAATTATACTAAAAAAAGAATTTTGCAAAAATGAGCGTAACGAATATCGAAAAAGTTCAACGGAACCATTAATTCCGAATTAGTAAACAAAATGTAACGGGTAAGTTATGAGTGCCGTATGTCAAACTAATTTCAGGCCAAAGATCACTTCTGACCTCAAATTTGTGTATCTTGTGTAATATTTGCTTACTAACCTTAATCTATACTAATATGGGTAATTATTCGGCAGGTACTATGTAAACACTGACGGAAAAAATTTCACATTATTGCCGCAGGTTAATATTAAAATCATTTTAATATAAAACTTGCGGCATAATATCAATTTTTTCCGTAAGTGTATACGTCATACCTGCCGAATAAACTAGTTATCCGGCATAATGGTGACGAATACAGATTAACAGAATAATAACAACGCACGTGGCCGAAGGCCACGTGCTTTTGTTATCATCCTACCAATAACTGTGTATTCGTCAGATCATGCCAGATAACAAGAAATTATTTTTGAACCCGGACCAATTTTATATATGATGTAATAACATTTTGGTCTGAATTCAAAAGTATTTACCCATATTAAACGAATGTAATTGGCATTATATAGCAAAATAAATAAATAGAATCATAAAAAACATTTTCACATTCGATTTTCTTCCTTTTATTTTATTTTATTTATTTATTTATTATTTTTACAAACATCATGTCCTCTATAGACCATGTTTTAGTCGTCGAAAGTGCTACACAAGAGCATCTCGTAAATATACTTAATTGATCTATTAATAACCATTCTGTTTTTTTTTTACTTTTTTCTACTTTTGAATACAGGTCAATAATTTCGATTCAAATTCTATGCCATCAAGTACACCAACATCTTCAAACATTTCAGATAATAACGGATTAAAAGAATCAAAGTATTCCAAATTTTTGCAAGCCACAATCAGCAAAGATATCGAAACGCAACTATTTTTTGAACTTTATGGCAATACGAATAAGAATAATAATTCACGTTGGCTTCAAACAAAATGTTTTGTCCTTGCCAACTTGCAATATGGATTCACAAAACCAGAAGAGAATACTTATGATCGTTATGTTATGCATTTAATTGTTATGATGAGATTTGTTTTCGATGATCAAATTAAAGCTAGAACATCGACTTTTGCTGCTTTCTACAATTCTCAACAAGAATCAAAAGACTATCCGCTATATGAAAAAGATAGTACATTTTATATTAATTATCTTTTTTGTTGTCTGCTCGACATTAAAGCAGTAGAAGGTGACTTTTTCTTTGAAGATCTAGTTTACTCTGCATTTCCACGTGGACGTGATATGTTATTGTATAAACGAAAAAAAGCAAACCCCCCCTCAATTAATAGAAATATAGATTTGTCCATGGAAAAAATGCAAAAATTTTTATTAGATTTTGAAAAAACAGAATATATGGATGAGCACTTAACTTTTAAAAAAAATAAAGTCAGCATCTTCAATTATGATTTTAAAAATGAAGAGTTTATGAATAGATATAGTGATAATCGACTCGCTCAGAAGTATGGAATAGAGATGGTTGGACTCGAAATAATGAAAACATATACATTCCTCATGAATAGTAAAAAATCCAAAGATCTTATGTTTGAATATAACATTTGGAATGCCGATGGTTTTGAAGATGTGGTTTTGGCTATTATTAAAGGCCGTACAGTTAACATTGGATATACTGTACTAGCTGATAAATTTTTTGGCCTGGAAAAAACAATTAACTCATTTTTGTTCCGGTTTCAAAGAGAAGCGAGTCATAGACGACTCTATCAACCAGTAGATTATTACTTTATTGTTTTTTCAATTTTTTTAGGATTTCTCACAATATTGCAAACGTTGACAGGAATAGCATCCTTAATCCTCCAAATAAATTCAATGTAATATAGTTTTATTTATAAATAATTTATTTCTAAATAAAGCTATATTATTTTATAAATAAAATTTTAAATTACACTTGACCCTCGCTAATATCAACCAATTTGGATCACTCTTATATTCCTGTCGATTGTGATATTAGTGAGGGATCATAGTAAAGTTGATATATATGAGGGAATTTTGATATATTAAAATTTATAAAAATTTGTCTTGTGGCTTAGGTTGATATTAACGAGGGTCATGTGTATTATTATTTTTATTATCAGCTATTCAAAGTGGTTAGTTGGTAAATGTCAATATTATTTTAAACATTTATGTTTAAAGTATCTGATTAAATATAATTGGTCAATTTTAATTACATAACTAGAACATGATCATGCGGGCGGTTTCGCAGCCTATAATATGCTAAAGATAATAGATTTGTTTGTTTATTCTTACTTTTATTTCGGAAAGAAAAATTTTTCTCAAGCTTTTTCATCATTAGATGTCTATCTTGAATTTAATGCACTAATTTGGGCCTTTCCAGGGCCAAAGTTGGTGCATTAAATTTAAAACATTTCCTTTCCGTCATTAGATGTTTCATCTAGAATTTAATGCACCAATTTGGGCACCTCTGGGCAAAGATGTTGTATTAGATTTAAATCATTTTCTTTCCATCATTAGATGTTCCATCTTGAATTTAATGCACCAATTTGATCCCTCCAGGGCAAAGCTGGTGCATTAGGTTTAAAGCAATTCCATTCCTGTCATTAGATGTTCTGTCTTGAATTTGATGCCCCTCCGGGCCACTATAGATGGGAGTGGGCATATAAGTACCAAAAGGATACTTTCTTTACTAGAATTTTTGTTTTAAATGTTCCGAATTTTTTTTTTCCTCTCATGTACATGTACTGTGTACATGTATCATGTTTATACGTATCATGTATACGTATAAAAATGGCGGGAGTAAAAATCCCTTTTTAGGAATTTAGAAGGAAATTGTTAACAAATGCTTACTTGGAATCATTTTCGACGCCATATTTTTTACAATCATGGTAATGCCCAACAATATGCGCACCACTATGTGACCGTATCAGCAGAATTACGATAATGAAAGAATGCCTCATAAGCATCCTTTTCAGCCCCAATTTCATATTCATAATAGTTACAAAACGCAATTATTCCACCGGTATCCTCCATGTCTGCTGATTTTTGATACTAATGAAAGCCTTAGGTTACGCTTTTCAGCCTATTTACCATAACGATAACAACTTGTAAAACTGGCCTGAACCATAAAATTGACTTTATTATATAAGTAAATTTTGAATTATCTGGAATTTATGTTTATTTACTAAAAACTGTTCTATTGTGTCTATAATTGAATAGAGATTTTGTCTTTCAACCTTTCTTAATTATAAAGATTAAATATTTTTTTAACAATTCCATTAAGAAAATTCCAACAATTCAATAAACATCCCTAGTGCTGATTTCTGACAATGAACGAATGCCTTTTTGTCGTCATTTCAATTCCAGTTCATTAAGATAACAAACTTCAATATTATATATTTTACAAGCATCCCCATCTCTGCTAATGTTTGATAGTAAATAATCCCATTAAGATAGCAGTTAGTCCATGGCTTTTGACTTAAATGGTATCATGATTCATTGTTTTTTTTTTTAGCTAATACAATTTGTAAATGTCAAATTTATTTATGAATTTACAATAATAATGAAATGATCAATTTATAAATAAATTATTAAATCATTTCGAATTTATAGAATTTAAAAATCAGTACGTAGCATATATAATATAAATAAAATGACAGTATTCGATACAATTGCCAAGATAAAATAAAAAGTAAATGAGCTTATTCGACATTTCATATGTCATGTGAATTTTTTTGCCATGATATTTTTTACATGAAATTACGTAATCAGTTTTGCAAAAAAACAGGATAAGTGACATCAAAAAAGTTGAAGGAAACCATCCCTACCACATTTCATGTTACACAAGAAACGTGATCGTACTGGTATATAGTATGCGCTGCGGCATAAATATATACTAAACAAAATTCAATATCACAACTAGAGATGGGCATTCTGCATTATGTGCATTACATTATACAAAACATAATGTCGCATAATGTAATGTAGGCATTTTAAATTTAAAAATGCACATAGAAATTACTATATAATTTTAATTAATAAAATATTCTATTTTATTAAAAACAATTAGAATGCATTAAAGAATAATATCCGAAAGTCTAAAGGCCTTTTGAAAAAGTGTAAATGATCTTAAAGCCATTTTAAAAACAGGGTACAAAAACTTTATTACATTCATTCTTCGGGTGGTTTTGGGCCCAATATCATCAAGAATCGAATAATATTGAATGTGCACATGCATTCGATAATGTATTAATTAATAAAAATTTTTTTTTTTATATACATCGTGCAAAAATAGAATAAATCATAAAACATCATTTTATTAGAAAATCGGACGTTACTTTTGCTGCCTACCGTACATACGCACAAAAAGTTATAAGCATCAGGTACAAATTTATGAGTAAAATTCATAAGCGATTCATTATCGGGCTCACAAAAAATCACTTTTATTCTCAATAAGCATGCCATATCACATAAATGATTAGCTCAATTTTATTTAACCTAATCACTCATATATTTCATCACTTTCATATAAAACATCATCACTATCATATAAAACATCACGAAATTTGAGATTTTCGTCCATATGTTTATCTGCTTCTAAGAATTGCCTTTTAATTTCATTTGCATTATCTGAACTTTCCATAATTTCATTCCATTTAGCAATTTTATAATAAACATCCAGAACAGTAGGCCGCTTTACTGGATCAGCATCCATGCATTGTTTAGCAAATTCAATATAGCAATTCGGAGTTCCAGGAGCAAATTCAGGCCGCAATCCATTACAAATTTTTACTGCAAGTTCAACATTGAATTTGTAACCATTAAAAGGTCTTTGTCCAGTTGACATCTCTGATATGATGACACCGAAGCTGTATATATCGGCAGCTTTCGTGAACTTTTGACCCATTAAAACCTCTGGTGCCACATAAGGTATAACGCCATAAATATCGCCTGAATCATTTTCATTTTCTTTTTTGGACAATTCTAAACCCGAAATATAAAATTTTATATTTTCACTAACGCCTTTATCTTGCAAGATATTGCCACTGTGAAGGTCTTTATGCACATATCCTGAATCATGAATCCGACGTAAATCGTTAGAAATATCGTTAAGTAGTTTTAATTTAGTTTTCCAGGTAAGATCACGAAAATTTTTTCTTAAAAACTTGTGAAGACATCTTTCATTATAAGAGTGTTATTTTATGTAGTAGATATAAATATTGAGATGTATTATTAGATTTGAATTATCGTTTGTGATTTTTAACTTTTTAACTTGACTTGAAAAATATTCTTATACTTTCAACTTACTCGCTGTTATGTAGTGTAACAGATACGGGTATTGAGATGTGGTTTGGTTAACGTTGTGTTATTAGTTTTGAATTATCGTTTATGATTTTTAACTTGACTTACTTGCTGGTAATTTAACACGTAAATGAAGAACAGAAAGTAATATTTCAATAGACTATAAATGTGTTGATCTTTTTTATTAAGAAACTTCCATACTTACGCACTAGTATTTTATTGTGTATATGAAGAACAGAAAAATAATAGTTGAGAATTTTATTAAATATAAAACGCGCAGATCTTTTTTATGAATAATTTCTATGCTTACTCGCTGGTTTTTGTGGGTTCTTTTGTTATTTTATCTGCTTCTAAGAATTGTCTTTTAATTTCATTTGCATTATCTGAACTTTCCATAATTTCGTTCCATTTATCAATGTTATAATAAACATCCAGAGCAGTAGGCCGCTTTTTTGGATCAGCATCCATGCATTGTTTAGCAAATTCAATATAGCAATTCGGAGTTCCAGGAGCAAATTCTGGTCGCAATCCTTTACAAATTTTTATTGCAAGTGTTGTATCAAACTCAAAACCCTCAAAGGGTCTTTGTCCAGTTGACATTTTTGACATGATGACACCGAAGCTGTATATATCGACAGCTTTCGTGAACTTTTGACCCATGAAAACCTCTGGTGCCAAATAAGGCCAAACACCATAAATATCACCCGAATCATTTTCATTTTCATTTTTGGACAATCCTACTGAAAGATAAATTTTCATATTTTCACTAATGCCTTTATCTTGCAAGATATTGCCACCGTGAAGGTTTTTATGTACGTATCCCGAATCATGAATGCGACGTAAATCGTTAGAAATATCGGTAAGTAGTTTTAATTTAGTTTTCCAGGTAAGATCACGAAAATTTTTTTCTAAAAACGTGTCAAGACTTTCATTATCAGCGTGTTATTTCGTGTAGTAGATATAAATATTGAGATGTGTTATTAGATTTGAATTATCGTTCGTGATTTTTAACTTTTAACTTGACTTGAAAAATATTCTTATACTGTCAACTTACTCGCTGTTACGTAGTGTCATTTTGTGTAGCAGATACAGATGTTGGGATGTGGTTGGTTAACGTTGTGTTACTATTTGTGAATTATCGTTTATAATTTTTAACTTGACTTACTTACTGGTAATTTAACACGTAAATGACGTGAAAGAACGGAAAAGTAACATTTTAATAGAGAATTTTTAATATTAATAAAATATACATGAACACTGGAAATTTTAATGCCAAGTTACAATGGTTTTCAAAAAGATGTGGAAAACGATTCCCACATTTGGGGAATTGATGAATTTGGAAATTCTGATTAGTAAAAAATTAAAGATCCGTTTAGAGCATGTCTTGAAAACTCCGGAAATTCAGGAAATATTGTGAATTCCCTATGGTATAGTAATCTGCTAATCTGCATCTTTCCACAACTTTTTGAAAACAGATGTAATGAACAGAGATGTAATATTTAGTGGAGAATTTTTTATACTCACAATTCTGATAACCTTTTACAGATTGTTTCAATGTCAGGACGTTTATTTGGATCTTGGTCCCAAGCTTCAGTATAAAGGCTTCTATAGGTGTCTGGGGTTTTAGGAAATGACTTTTCTCGCTCGCCTGATTTAACTTTTTTCTCAATTTCGACATCTTCAAAATCTTTAAAAGGAGCATGGCCACTTAACAACTCCCAAAAAAGGGCACCAAGGCTATAAATATCTGAAGGTTTTCCTCGTGTAGAATTTTTATTGTTGAGACAATGTGGATCTCGAAAAGCAGGATATCCCAACTGATCTGAACGTTGAGAATATCTGCTTCTATTTTTGTCACTTGCAAATTTAGATAAATCGAAATCTGTGATCTTCATTTTATTTTGATGTACTAAAAAATAAGCTCTTGTTAATATTAGGGATGCTAATGTCCGATTCTTTAATCAACATTCATGTTAAGTGGGGCTGGGCCAAAATATCTAGTTAAGGATAAAATGATAAAAATTCATACAAGATCACCATGTATAATTCCTCCTTGATAATTATGTAAATAATGAACTCCAGCAGCAAGACCCTTCGCCATTCTAATTATTTCTGACCACTCAAGCTTATTATTCTTTAAATAATTATTAAGATCTCCTCCATCTGCAAATTGAAGAACAATGCTATACTCTTCTGTTCTGGGATCTAATTCATGTTAGATTAATAACATATTGAATTTTTAACAAAGGTCGTTTATCCGATATACAAAATTAAAATACCTTGAGTAATTGCGTGGAATTTGATTATATTTTTATGCTCAAGTTTCAACCAAATGTTAATCTTTTAAATAAATTTGATCAGTAATTATAATTCAAATTATTTAAAATGCATAAAATGATTCGTACTTCATTCGCTATATTCTTATCAAAAAGGTTATTATTGTGTGGCGTCTTTAAAACAAAATATTGCTTCATCTTTCCTGAATAGCATTTAAATACTTTGCCAGCTGATCCGGAACCAAGCAATTTGCCCTTATCAAGTTCATATTCCTCATAATCCCAAGTTTTAAGACTCATTTCGGTTTATATTCACTCAAAGGTGTTTATTAAAGTACGTACGTACATACGGCGTAGAAAATTTATAAACCTCAATTTATCTAATTTATCTATGTAGAGATAACGCATCGGTTGGTAGCACAATGAAATTGATTATCAATCTTCTTGCATAGAAATAATACGTCAAGAATAATATGTACTTAATAGTAACTATTATATGCATACTACCGAAGCTTAAAGTAACCCCTATTGAATTTATCGTGCTGGTCTTTATTTTATATTATATGAAGTATATTAAGGCAATACGAAAGAGGTCAGACTAGTGATAGGCAATGCGCATAATGCATATTATAACAACAGGAGCTACCGTTCAAATTCGTAGATGATTCCTATATAAGTTACACAATTGATAAATGATTATTTTATACTTTTTACAATACTTCTTTTAAAAGCTCGGGTTACTTAACTTTCTATGACACGTGAGAAATTTAACGGATGAATTAATGCTTTCGCTTCGCCTTATAGCATATTCACGACTTTTTTTGCAATCTGATTGGCCGACTTACTAGAATTCGACATACGATTTGTTGATAATCATGTGTAACTATATTGGTGTGAAGGGGGTAAATCGATACTAAGATCGGTTAGGTCGGTTTGTCCAAAATTGGTCTTAGTTACCGTTTTTACTAATTTACCCCCAGGTTTCTGATTGGCTAGATTTGTTTACATGTAGGGATGGACTCGGTCGGTTACGGTCGGTTATCGGTCGGTTATTACCGGCTAGCCGATCATAGCCGGCTAGCCGATCAATTTTTTAATTCCTTCATCAAATATCGATATTTAATCAAGTGACAAACCAATTGTATGTTGGTTTAA